TCTCTTTTCATAAATATGTGAAATAAAATGTTTTTCTTTTATTTCTGCTGATTACCTGAGCTGAATATTGGCGAATTACAAAAGCTAAAAGTGAAATTTTAAGCAGATTCTGATGAAAAACACTAAAGTTTTATGTTTTGTTACTCAAGTAAAAAAATAAAACCTTTATAAAGACAGAAACCCTCAGATAAGTCCTTCATTTGTTAATCCCAGCCTGAGCATTTGTTGCATCAACAAATTGAAAAGGATAAAATTAGTAAAATGTTTTTATTTGAGCAAAAGATTTGACTTTAACAACAAAATTTGATTCAAACAAAAGCAGCTTTTATTGTAACAAGAGGCAGAACAAGAAGTAAAATGTCACTTCCGTGTTGTTTTAACTTTAGCTAGCTGCTAGCTGCTAGCGGCTGGCTAACAGCGCGTCACACAGAGCACGAGGAACCGACCTGTTGCTAGCTCGGCTAACGYTCTTCCGGTCACTGACGGCAGGAGAACCCGTTTACCGACCATTTCACGGTGTTTCACGAATTATTACTTTAGTCAACGTGACGCGACCTTTGCACGCGGGTCAGTAAGGTCGTGTCCGACACACACGGAGTTTAACCGCGGACAGGCGGAGCGGCTTCCCCGCGGGGGCGGAGATAGTCGCTGTGGGGGTCGAGGACAGGAATTTAAAGACCACTGGCCAGGCTCGGCTCGGCTCGGGGAGGAGAGGAGGGTGAGTCCTGCACGTTGTCTTCATGTTTGTTTGTCTCAAAGCGTCATTTGATGAGTTTGTGTGTTTCCGGTCACAGAAGATAAGTGAAGTGCGGTGTGTGCAGGTAGGTTTAGTTTGGTTTTTAAGTTCATTTTGACACAATAACGACGCGGGTTAATTTAAGCTCATTTCTACTAAACTTTAGTAGGTAAGTTTGTTTGTTAACAGACTGACACAAGGCTGGTCTGGGCCTCTGGTCCCTGAAGTTATTGATCCTAACTTAGATAAAACGAGTTGTGTTGTCTTTGTGTTAAGGTTAAAGTTGTTTACGTGTTATAAATCACGTGTTTGTGAACCGGATGGTCTAACATGTAAATGGTTAGTTTTTGTGTTGTTTCTGCCCTGCTTTGCACCCCCAACAGCGCTGGGTCCATCTTTGTTTTTGGACCACCACTGTTAAACAGGCTTCCGTCGATCCCATTGGCTAACCGTCGCCCGCGCTCGGACCTGATTGGTCAGAGAACAGTGACGTAGTGACGTGTTTCCGGTGCAGCCAGAAATGTGTACTATCTTGTTTTCTGAGCAAAACAATCCGATGGCAGAAAAACAAGCAGCAGATAATTAAGTTTGTCTGGCTGCAGCAGCGTTCAGTGTTCCCGTTTCTCTGCCAGATGAGTCACGTTAGACATTTATTTATTTTATGTATTTATTTTATTCATTTCATTAAAAACAAAAAAGTTTACATTAC